TGATATCCGATTTTAAAAAAGAAACAGACTAACGCACCACGTTCAAAAGAAACGATCCAAACGTTTCCTCGACACCGTTACGAAACGAGATTGCTTTCCGTAAAACCAATTACACACATATTATCATCTCGTAGACTCGTTCGGAGCAGCGAATCGTGGCCCGATTTTCCGGGCATCGTACCTACTTTCCCGGTTCCCCGATCTTCGGAACGATCTCGCGGCGACCGGCGAGAACGTGGAAGCAAGTCGGCACACTTCGCGGTTCGTTTCGTAGTTAACATGTAAGCCGCATTAAACTGATTACGATTTACGAGCGGCGGCGCGTCGCGTCGGCGGCCCTGTTGCGCCGCATTAAAGCACGTCGCGGCGGAAATTTATTGCCCGCGCGAAAACCGGCCGCCGAGGTTTCGGTGTCGGCCGGATAAAAGTCGGGAAACGAATCCGTTACGTCCCGCGGGACCGCGCGAAATTTTCAATTCGCGCGGACTGCGCGCCGCGACGCGACACGGAACGAGGGGCGCGAACGGGGGAGGAAGTAAAAGAGAAAGAGAGAGAGAGAGAGAGAGAGAGGAGGAGGAGAAAGAGGGAGAGGGAGATCGTATCGCGCGTTCTCGTGTTCCTCGAAATCAGGGAAACTTTATGCGCGCCGGGGAACAAATTCGCCGCGGAACAGAGCACTCGCGTGCATCGTATCGCGCTGGGAATTTCTTATACGATACCCCGGACGTTGTTTCTGCTACTTTACGAATAACGAGGACTCTATTTCGACGCTGCGGAGCGCGTCACAATGCGATTCGTCACGCGATTCTTGCTCTTTTGTCGCCCGCCCGCCGCTGAAAGTGAAACGGCGCGAGCCACCCCGGGCTTTCCGCGCACACGGAATATTCGATTGAACTTCGATCGCGACACGCGATTCGTGTACAATATGCTTACACGCGCGACAGGCTGCCGAATTCGGTGAACCGAAATTTCGGATAGAGAAAAGGAGACAGAAATTTCGGATACTCGGCGAGCATGCTCGTTTCTTGGAATTTTCATCCGCGCTGTACACTTCGCTCAGTCTCTTCGTTTCCGTTGATCTGTTTAGCAGAATGGAAGTAAGTTGGAAATTCCTTTCTCGTAATGGAAAATACTAATCTGGTCGATATAAAAGAAAAACAAGATATATGCACAATATAGTGTATAACATATATCGAATATGTACAATATACATAATACAGGGTGTCCCGGAAATGTGAGGTTCCCGAGGTCATTCGAAGCAACTTTTTCCTTTGCGAAAATGTTCTCCGAGGCCTCGTTTACGAGTTATGAACGAAAAACACTGACCAATAAGAGGCGCGCTCGGCTGGCGCGCGACGGCCCAGCCAACGAGCGCACGTAGCCCAGTTCCGCTCATTGGCCCGGCCGTCTCGCGCCAAATGATCTCGTCTCTGATTGGCGCACTGTTTTTCGATAATAACTCGTAAACGAAGCCGCGGATTGCATTTTCGCTAAGGAAAAAGTGGCTCCAAATCACCTCAGGAATCCCCTACTTTCGGACTGCGAGACATTTTTGGGACAGTCTGTGTATAATATGTTACTTTCTGAAGCAAAAACTATAGCCTTCCATTTAAGAAAATCATACTAACCTTCAGATCTCCTATACTACTCCACCCATAAAAAAAACAACCAACAGCACACGATGTATCCCTTCTTACCAAATAACTTTCGTAGGAACATTTTCTTAATAACCATAACGCCTTCCGAGATATCCTGTTGCGCTCGCTCGAAGACACACTGTACAATGCAACATAAGCTAACGATTTACCTTTATCAAACTCATTATACCATCATATAGCACCTCATTGGATTCCTCTCAATGCCAGCTGTTACTTTCCGAAGCAAAAACTATAGCCTTCCATTTAAGAAAATCATACTAACCTTCAGATCTCCTATACTACTCCACCCATAAAAAAAACAACCAACAGCACACGATGTATCCCTTCTTACCAAATAACTTTCGTAGGAACATTTTCTTAATAACCATAACGCCTTCCGAGATATCCTGCTGCGCTCGCTCGAACGAGACACCCTGTACAGCCTCGTCAAAATCAGAATTTAGAGTTCGAGCGTAACCGACTTGCCCGACAACCCGGAACGTCGCTAAAATCGATTGAACCGATTTAAACCGGAACGGTTTCATGGCGCCGTAATTCCCGCCGCGAAATTTTCCGCAACTGATTTGTCAAATCGCGGGACGCGCGCGTCAGGTGGGCGTTATCGAGTCGTTGACACCGGCCGGAACGCAACAATGCCGCGTGAAATCAGGAAGCTAATGATACGGAAACGCGGCTGGATGCTCTGTGGAGGGGGGGAGAACGCCGCGGATTCCGCTCCCTTCCGCTTCGTCGCGGGGAAACCGGGCTCCCGTAATTATTTCTGCGAAACACTGGGAACCGTTCCGCGGGAGCCGCGACGTCGCTTGTAATTCGGTTATCTGGCAATTTTCATCTAATGCCGAAACTTAAGCTACCAAGATTATCAATTAACGGCTGCCGGCGCGCCGCGATTCCGACGCGCCGCGCCGCGACGACGCGATGCAGCGACGGGCCTCACAACAAACAGTAAAAAAGCTCGCGCTTTTTAACTTCTTCATCCGAGCCTATAAAATGCATTTTGTAGATTTTACATCCGTACCGAAAATTTCATCGAAATCGGTTGTCCTTGAAATAGGCTGCAAACGATTAAAGATCGATCGATTAAAACCCCAGCATCGTTTAAACAAAAATTCTAGTCGTTTGGTCCAAGTTTTAAAAGAGACACTGCGTTTTGAACAGTGTCCGCTCAATTTTGTGCGGTACTGTACGCTTCGATGGCCGATTTCCCATTTTAGTCTTCGCGCGAATGAATCTTGCGTTAGAATTCATACTTTATTGTACAATTTAAAACGTATTTTCTAAACGAATAACCGAGCATACATCGAGCTCCGCGTTTCAAGCCGTAAAGAATCAGGAAAGTCCCTTTCGACCCGACCTGTTCGTCGAACGATACCAAGTTACCCCGAAAAGCCGATATTTTCTTCAGAATTTAACATTTTATTTAATCACGACCCACTGATGGTCGCCGGAAGTCGCGCCACCATCTAGCCACCATAGATTCCTTTTCTCGCATGCTTCGTCAAGTCGAAACGCTTTCCCAGGTTTATCGCCTGCAACGCTAGAACGAAAGATCGCGCGCTCTGTCCGCATCGTGCCGGTTCCGCGGTTCCGTCTCGCTTCGTTTCGGTTACGGGCGAAGCGGGCCTGGTCCGGGCCTGCCCGCAAGCGCGAACACGTTCGGGCACGGTGCCGGACGGGCCTGGCACGCCGCGAGCGCGGCGCGCGTAACGCGAACACTCCAACGTGAATCGAACGTAAGAATGATTCGAGGCCTTGGTCGGCCTCGGACCACGGCCCGAGAGCCCAGCACGCGTATGCGAATCGACCCTAATCGGGGCAAGTTTTCGGTCACGGTGCTCCTCCAGGGAAATTAACGATAAGCCCTGAAACTTGCTCGTGGTCCAACTTCAACGGCGTCGCGGGGTTTACCGCTGTCTCTCCCCCGACTTCTCGCCTCTTTAATTATTACTTAATGATGCCGGAAACGGCCGGGAATAATTAAAGTAAGGGCTGCGGGTCCGCAGGCGCGGGCCGACTGTCCGCTCGCTTTGAGAACTTTCTGTTGCGGGATTAATCCGATGCGGCCATTACGACGGCTCGGGATACGGAAAGAGGAGGAAGAGGAGGGGGGATGGACACGCCGGCGTCCCGGCTGCAATTTTAACGTTTTAATACAACTCCGCCGCTTTGGCCGGCACGTGCATCCGTTTATTGCTTCGTTAATACGCGGCCGCGGAACGGGCCAGACGTTTCCCTTATTTTCCCGCGTTCGAGCTTAACCGCGGCTCGCGGAATCTAGGTTAACCTTTTAGGCCCGACGCGCCACTATAGTGGCTTTCGCGGATATGTCATCTCTCTGAACGACGCGCCGCTATAGTGGCTTGCTCTAGTAGCTCACTCGCTCATCGTTTGAACCAAATAATCGTCTTCATACGCATTGTTTCGCACTTCTTTTGTCTTCGTATCGATTTACAACAGTCTACAGGCTGTCCCAAAAATGTCTCGCAATCCGGAAATGGCGGGTTCCTCGGATCATTTGAAGCAACTTCTTCCTTTACGAAAATGTTCTCCGAGGCACCGTTAACGAGTTATTAACGAACAAACAGTGACCAATAAGAATCGAGTACGGCTGGCGCGAGGCGGCCCGGCCAACCAGCGCGCGAAGCCCGGTTCCGCTCGTTGGCTCGGTCGCCACGCGCCAGCCGAGCTCGCCTCTCATTGGTCACTGTTTCTCGTTAATAACTCGTTAACGGTGCCTCGGAGAAAATTGTTGTAAAGGAAAAAGTTGCTTCGAACGACCCGAGGAACCCGCCACTCTCGGATTGCGAGACATTTTTGGGACACTCTGTATGTATACGCCGGCCGCGGAACGGTTCCGTGCATTTGCATACCGTTAAAAATGTTGTATATCCTCGGTGACGCGGGGCCCGCCACGGAGCCCTCTTCAAACGTAGACGCGCGAGCACGGGGGAACGGCGTTCAATTAGCGATATTCAAATTTCCCCGGGTGAAAAGCAGACCGTCCCGCTCCGCTTTTACCGGAAGGCTCTCGTTATCGCGGGGCGGCCCCTGTCATTTCTCCCTCGGCACGCCGAGAGACGGCGCGGAGCTTCGTCCTCGTCGGCGGCGTCGTTCGCACCTTCCCAGAGTCCCTTGATTAACAACCCCCTTCAACAGCCACTTGCTGTTGTTTCCTTCGTGAGTTTAGAACGAGTCGCTTTTACGCCGGTCCGATTAAAGGCCCGTTAACGCTCCCATTGAACCTGAAATCTGCTTCTTTTGATCTTCGAACGCGATCGAGCGCCTTTCGGAAGTCGAGGGCGCGGCGAACGCCTCTTTGAAGTCACGGCTGTCTATCCCGGCCTTGCGTCGAGCTAACCAATCCCCGGCGACGATCCATCAAATTGTTAAACAAACGTGTCCCGACGAAATTATACGTCTTCGGTTCTCCTCTCATTTTTAACTGAAAGCACAAACGGTCCGTTAATCGCCGCACGTTCCTCGAGGGGGGTGAAAAGTCGATTATTCCTATTTCAAGGCACTGTGACGTGTCCTTTTTTGCCGAGGTTGTAAAGCGTTTCTCTGAAAGAGCGAAGTCTGCTTCGGCATACTTAAGCGTCACCATTTATGTGGAGTGTGAGCTTGAATCATTCTCAAGAATTATATACGATTAAGTAACGCGTTTTATTGGGTTGGCAGGTAAAGTAATTTCGGTATTTCAATGTGAAATAAAACTCAATTTTTTTATATACAAGAAGCGAACTTTGATCAGTGAAATATTTTCTATTCCGTTCGATGACCTTTTGCCATCTTTCTGGTAACTTCGTGATTCCGTGCTCGTAAAACTTATGATAATTGTCGGTAAAAAACGATTACGCGATATACATACTTACGGTTGAATATAAAAAACTTAAAGTTTAATATTAAATTTTAGAAATTATTTCACCCACGGGGAAGAACGAAACGACGAGACCTTTTAGTTCGGATAGCGAAGAAGAATTGGTAATCAATGATTTCGAGGAAAATCGAAAAAGAAAGAGAATTATAGGACGATATTCGTCGTCGGGGGATGAAGATACGGATAACAATGGAGAAAAGATCGACGAAACGTACGTCCGAAAAGTGCGAAAAATTAAACGGAATTCGGGAAAAAGATATCGTGCTCGAACCGGGAATATCGTACCTTTAAAAGTTTTCCAAAACAAAATGTAGACGAGCAGTAAATTGTTTTGTAATTTACGTAGTTAAAAAATGTTTCGAATCGCGTAAATTATGTTTTCGAAGCGTCGTGAAGATATATAAAATAAATTGAGCATCGTTTCTTTCAATTCGAAGCATCTTAAATTACGTCGAACGGACTCGGACTCCTTCAAATTTTATAACGAATCCGGTTGTTAATTTTGAAAGTGGCCCAACTCCATTCTTGGTAAGAAAACGCATATTATTCGCTTAATAATCGCCATTATTTTAATAGGAACTATAAATTTAACTCCTTCAGATACGCTTAAGCAGTATGACTCGTT